GCCTACAATTTTAAATTTACCTCTAACCCAGTAACCACATTACATATCTATCTTTAACCCCTTTAAATCCCTGACATATCCCCCAATACCCAAACCCTCCTTCCCTTAAAAAAAATCAACCTCAAATACTCCAGTAAAACCCCCCTACCCGTCCTTCTACCCCCAATCTCCCTTAAATCTGCCCACATGTACTATTTTACCCAATACCCCCGTAAAAATTTTGCCTACATGTACATATCTTAAACCCCAATCTCCAGTAACTACCCCCTACTATCACCCCCAAAACCCGTAAATCTCCTACATGGAAAATATCTACCCTCATACTCCAGTAACACTTTTTCATATCTAAACCCCAAAACCCCCTAAATCGGGGCCCACATGTACATATCCCACCCAAAAACTCCCGTAACTCCCGGGCCCACATGTCATATCTACCCAATTTCTCCCCGTACACATTACATATCTACCTCAATAAACCCATTTAAATCTCCCCACTTTACATATCTTAACCCTCAAAACCCGAACCCCCTGCCTTTCCTTAATTCAAACCCCAAAACTCCAGTAAAATCTGCCAATTTACATATCTACCTCAATACTCCCCGAACTCTGCCTACTGTACATATTTTAAAACCCCAATACCCTTTAACTCTGCCTACAAAGTCATACTACCTCAAAACTCCCCGTAATTCCCGCCCACATGTACATATCTACCTCCAAAACTCCAAATAACTCTGCCTACATTTAAATATCCCAAACCCCAAAATTTCCCCGTAACCCCGCCCCATTACATATCTACCCCCAATACCCCCAGTAAATACAATTTTTATCTACCTCAAAACCCCAGTTCCCTGCCTACTGTTATATCTACCCCAATATTCCCGTATCCCTGCCTACATGTACATATCTACCTCAATACTCCAGTATCCCTGCCTACATGTACATATCTACCTCAATACTCCAGTAACTCTGCCTACATGTACATATCTACCTCAATACTCCAGTAACTACATGTACATATCTACCTCAATACTCCAGTATCCCTGCCTACATGTACATATCTACCTCAATACTCCAGTAACTCTGCCTACATGTACATATCTACCTCAATACTCCAGTATCCCTACCTACATGTACATATCTACCTCAATACTCCAGTATCCCTGCCTACATGTATATATCTACCTCAATACTCCAGTATCCCTGCCTACATGTACATATCTACCTCAATACTCCAGTAACTCTGCCTACAAGTATATATCTACCTCAATACTCCAGTAACTACATGTACATATCTACCTCAATACTCCAGTAACTACATGTACATATCTACCTCAATACTCCAGTATCCCTGCCTACATGTACATATCTACCTCAATACACCAGTATCCCTGCCTACATGTATATATCTACCTCAATACTCCAGTAACTCTGCCTACATGTACATATCTACCTCAATACTCCAGTAACTACATGTACATATCTACCTCAATACTCCAGTATCCCTGCCTACATGTACATATCTACCTCAATACTCCAGTATCCCTGCCTACATGTACATATCTACCTCAATACTCCAGTAACTACATGTACATATCTACCTCAATACTCCAGTAATCCTGCCTACATGTACATATCTACCTAAAGTCACTTTAACTCTACCCACATGTACATATTACCTCAACTACCTCAACTAGCCGGTGCCCCCGCACATTGACTCTGCAACGGTACCCCCCTGTATATATAGCCTCCCTACTGTCACTTTATTTTACTGTATATATAGCCTCCCTACTGTCACTTTATTTTACTTCTGCTCTTTTTTTCCTCAACACTTTTTTTTGTTGTTGTTTTATTCTTACTTTTTTTGTTTAAAATAAATGCACTGTTGGTTAAGGGCTGTAAGTAAGCATTTCACTGTAATGTCTGCACCTGTTGTATTCGGCGCATGTGACCAATAAAATTTGATTTGATTTGATTTGATATCTACCTCAATACTCCAGTAATCCTGTTCATTGTATATGTGGTACTGGCAGTGACCCTGTATATACTATAGCTTCCTCTCTTATTTCTGGTGTTGTTATTAGTTCTACTAGTTTGATATTGAATACTGCCCTGTTGGGCTGGCAAGTGAAGCATTTCACTGTACTGGTGCATGTGACAAATACAACTTGAACTATAGTTTATGACTATAGTATAGTTGTTGACTAGTCCTAATAAAACATGATTTGAAACAGTGCAGGCTGCTGAGGGCTCACAATAATGGCTGGAACGGAGCGAATGGAATGGCATCAAACACATGGAAACCATGGAAACCACGTGTTGGATGTATTTGATACCAGTCATTCTGCGCCAGACATTACCATGAGCCAGTCCTCGCCAATTACAATGCTGCACCCTCCTGTGGTTTTAAAATAGATTTACTGTCACACTGGATAGGTGCAGTAAAATGTGTTTTTTTTATATATAGGGTCAGTCATAGAGGTATGGCACCCCAGGAACAAATTAGGGTTAAGTGCCTTGCTCAAGAGCACATCGACAGATGTTTCACCTTGTTTGCAATTGCCCTATAAAGGTGCAATGGTTGTCATTTCAATGGTAATCTATATTGGACAGACAATGTAAACATAGCACCTGACCAAATTATGCAAGATTGTAGCTCTGGGTTAAGCGACAGTATTTTAGTTCTGGTTAAGCGGCAGTATTTTAGTTCTGGGTTAAGCTACAGTATTTTAGTTCTGGGTTAAGCAGCAGTATTTTAGTTCTGGGTTAAGCGGCAGTATTTTAGTTCTGGGTTAAGCAGCAGTATTTTAGTTCTGGGTTAAGCGGCAGTATTTTAGTTCTGGGTTAAGCGACAGTATTTTAGTTCTGGGTTAAGCGGCATTATTTTAGTTCTGGGTTAAGCGGCAGTATTTTAGTTCTGGGTTAAACGGCAGTATTTTAGTTCTGGGTTAAGCGGCAGTATTTTAGTTCTGGGTTAAGCGGCAGTATTTTAGTTCTGGGTTAAGCGGCAGTATTTTAGTTCTGGGCAGGGGCGGTGTGTTCATTAGGGCGATATGGGCGACGCACTGCCAAACGGGAAAAGGAAGGGATTTTTTTTCTAATCAATTATATCACGGCAACAGTAGTTATCAGTGTTCTAATCTAGACGTCTGATCTGCCACTAAATGTCCAATCAGGCTAAAGTCGTGCTTCAAATGGCCCCCCCCCCTTTTGGGGCGATTTCAGTCAGGTTGAAAATCGCCCCAGAAGTCTCTCATAGACTCCCATGTAAAATCTATTTTTTTCAAATATCAGAGCTTTCAATACAATCTCTATGGGTTTCTGAGGGCTTGCACTTACGCGCTTTCGTCATACGTAACATAACCATGAACGTAACTAAGAAAAGAGCGGGTAGCAGCGTCAATCAATTCACGTACTACTGTCAAGATGGCTATAGCGTTCAGTGCAACTCGATTGTCTCTTTGAAATAAGTTACTTTTTGTCGGCGAACAAATCAAGATAAATTGGCAACGAAACAATTAGGACCTCCCAGACCAAATTTAATAATTCAACAGGTTTCTACTAAAGGGGGAAAGTCCTACACCCGAGGATTTTCCAAAAATTGGTACGAACGAAAAACCTGGCTAGCAGGCTGCGATGTAGCTAATGCAGTCTTCTGCTACCCCCTGCTTACTCTTTCACCCTGAAGGCGGCACGGCAGACAGCACCGCTTGGACAGCGACTGGTGTGTAACGGACATGCACCATCTTTCAGGAAAGATTAAGAAACATGAGCTGTCAAAGACCCACATGGATAGCTGTTTGAGATTGTCTGCTTTGGGGAGAGTGAACATTGCCACTCAACTGGATGAGGGATACAGGCTAGCTGTCCGCCGCCACAACGATGAGGTTAGCAAGAACCGCCACATCCTCAGCCGGCTAATCCAGTGTGTGAAGTTTTGCGGAGTGTTTGAGTTAGCTTTGCGAGGCAAAGATGAAACTGAGGGCTCCACCAACCCTGGTAAGCCAACACTTTTGAGATCAGTCAATAAATGCTTCTGGTATTGACTTATATGCTGCCCCTGTCTTCATGTTGTTGCTGGACATATCTTTTTTAAAATGTGTGTAGGTCACCTAAATCATCAGAAATATTGCCCCTCCTGAGAAAAAAGGCGGCTCCTGAGAATTTTTTCAGGAGCCGCCACTGGTTCTGGGTTAAGCGGCAGTATTTTAGTTCTGGGTTAAGCGGCATTATTTGTATGGCAATAAATAACAACCAAAGCAGTTTCTCGAAGTAGTCCAGTCTGTAGTCAACCATATGAAGGACTACATAGGACTGTCAGAAATTCTAGCCCTCTTAACCCAACACCGCACGGCGTAAAAAAAATAAAAATAAACTGTCACGTAGCCACGCCGGGTACAAAGAGTACTGACACACGCGCGGGGTTTTCACTTTAGCCTCGCTCACAGCATGCATTACGGCACTTGGCTGCAAAACATTAGCGTTATAGCCCAATAAATGTCACGTGTCATTGTGTGTCATTTTACCATTATACAGGAGAATGTTCCAACCTAACCTAACGCACATCCTAACCTGTGCGTAAAAATTCAAGCGTTTGACAGTTTCACTGTGAAAAGAATAAAAGTGGTCTTACCTTTGCATAGCAGCATATGATCAACCCCAACGGTAAGAGATAGCCAATGACTAAAATAGTAACTTTATAGGTGTGTTTGGAAGCGCTTGCGTACCACGCTTCCCAGCAGAACGAACTGTTCGGTGCTTCCGGATGGTTAGTAAGTATCTGGTGTTGCGCCACTGGTACAGCGAATATGAACGATAGCGCCCAAATAACACAGACCCCTGTGAGGGCATTTCTCCTGTTGCGGACGCAGGGGGACTTTTTGGAGTGTACAACAGCTATGTACCTGTCCACTGACATGGCAACAAGCGTGAAGATGCTCACCAGCATACACACCATAACCAAATAGTGTACGCATTTACATAAAAAGGCTCCAAATATCCACTCAGGTAGGGAGTATATGGTAGCCTGGAACGGAACACAGAATAGCAGAAACAACAGGTCCGCTATGCTTAAATTGAGGATGAAAATGTTCGTCGTACTTCTGTTGCGCCGGGACTTAATTTTCCCTATTACTATCATCACCACAGTGTTCCCGACGACACCCAGGAAAAATATACATCCGAAAATCACCGGAACAATCACCTCCTCCGGACCACCGTGGTCTTCTTCACCGTCACTCGCCGTCAGGTTGCCGGTGTCTAATAACTCGGTCCAGACGTAGCCCGTTTCGTTTTCCGGCAGCAGCATGGTTTTATCCCAGAGTTCACGGCGTCCAGGTCCAGACGTTCTAGGAGTTAAGAAATATCTCTCCGGAGAAAGTGGTGATTTTGTCCAGACCCTCGCATGATAGATAGTCTGGTCTATGTATCACACTCAGCCAGTAACACTGCTGTGTCAAATTCCAGATTAGGGTTTACGCTACTTTACGCATGTTTGCAGGAAATGGTTTCGGGTGCGTCCACTTGTGAGAAAGTCGGCTGCAACAAGTGTAGGCTAGGTCACCCGATGCGCGTCTTCGACATAACACGCTAACGATAGCCTGGCTAATAACGATAACATGTTTGAGTTGCTTTTCATTTCAATATCACAATGGAAAAACGACTCCCTCTTTTCCATTTGACAAACGGTACTGTGGACTATGCCTGTAGATCATTATACCGTGGAGATGAAAGGGTTTGAGTGAAGCAGTGTGAGAGGTGTGACGATTGGAAAGAAAATAACGACCTATTTAGATCTCGTCTCTCATCCTGTAACCTTGGCACCGGCTGCCTCACAGTCTCGGATTTCTGACATGGGCTTTTATGTTATATGAAGTTTTACTTCATTGTCTGACATCATTTATTGTTTTATCAATTTAGTTGATAAATTGCTGTTACAACAAGTGATATTCATATTTGTGCTAACTTGAATCTTCGACAGAGAGACATCCATGGATAAAATGCTATGTGGCAAGACAAGAGTATCACTTGGTTGGATATCCCACTAAAAAAATCACTGCCTATAGGATCGTTTTGGTCTTCTCTGAACCCCTGCAGGATTCAATTAAGGGATCAATCAATAAATAATCTACCTCTGCCTTAGGTTTGAAACAAAGATTTGAAATAACTAGTTCCCTTCAGTGAAATTATTTTTGAGGAAGGACAAAGAAACTCCATTGAAAGTTTTGATGACTCCTTTTCTACTGTATCTACTGTATCCAGGCATTAAAAACATGACATCTTAGTCCTTAAATTGGAGGTCCTTCATACAGCAATGCATCATTACTCTTCAAATACCCCCATTCAGATACACAAACAGAACGGTCTTAGAGATTATTTAGTACTACTGGCTTTACCAAACAGAGAGAGTTATTTTGAGACTTTGCAAGACAGAGAGAGAGGAAGAGAGAGAGAGAGAGAGACACAGAGAGAGACACCACAGAGAGAGAGAGACACAGAGAGAGACACATAGAGAGAGACACAGAGAGAGAGACAGAGAGAGACACAGAGAGAGAGACACAGAGAGAGACACATAGAGAGAGACACAGAGAGAGAGACAGAGAGAAACACAGAGAGAGACACAGAGAGAGAGACATAGAGAGAGACACAGAGAGAGACACAGAGAGAGAAACACACAGAGAGGGCAACAGGTGAGCTCTTCTGTTTTGGAGCAATGGATGCCAACATTGGAAACAGAGGCAGAGCCAGAGGAGTGAGAGTAAGAGAAGGAGGACGGGGAGGATAAGGACGAGGACGAGGACGAGGAAGGCCAAGGACCGTAATCTCTGATGAGATCCGAGCCACTTTGGTTGATCACGTGGTCAACCATGGTCTAACAATGAGGGAGGCTGGGAAAAGAGTACAGCCAAATTTGAGCATCCATCATCCGGACATTCCGAAATGAGAATAGGTAAGAAATCTACTCTCACTAGAAAATTGCAGTACTGCATATCAATACAGTACTCAATGAGTACAGTATTGCCTGTGGACTGTTCTGTAGGACTGTAAAAATAAAGTATGTTTCAAGTATTTGGGAAATGTATTTCTACTTTGTATTTACAGCATTTTACTATTTGTTTGGCAGAACTGAAAGATTACCAACACAAGGTGGTCGGGAACGTGTTCTGTCTCATGAACAGGAAACTGAAATCATGAACATGGTCCTAGAAAAGAACGCCATAACATTACAGCAAATACAAAGAAAAATAATAGAAAACAATGAGATATTTCAAAATATTGATAGGGTGAGCTTATCAACACTGGACCGTGTCTTGCGCAGAAATAATCTCAGGATGAAGCAGGTCTACAGGGTGCCATTTGAACGCAATTCAGAAAGAGTCAAAGAATTGCGATATAACTATGTGCAAGTGAGTCCTATACAATCCCACAATTGATGCATACTCTCAACAATGTATAAATTATACATATTTCAGTATTGTAATCATAATGATTGTGCTTCACAATAGTGACCACTCCATGTCTATTTCTGATATTGTCATGTGTGTTTCAGAGAGTCCTTGAGCTAGAGGTGGCTGCAGTGGAGCACCAGTTCATCTTCATTGATGAGGTTGGATTCAACCTCACAAAAAGACGAAAGAGGGGAAGGAATATCATCGGCCAGCGTGCCATTGTTCAAGTCCCTGGCCAGCGCGGAGGGAACATCACAATGTGTGCAGCGATTACCCACCACGGCGTCATCCATCACCATGCTACCCTTGGCCCCTACAACACCGCCCATCTGATCACATTCCTGGACACCCTACACAACACACTCATTCTACCAGATCAGGTAGATGGCCCAGAGCAGCTCAGGTACGTTGTCATTTGGGACAACGTACGTTTCCACAGGGCTGCTCTGGTTCGTAACTGGTTCACTGCCCACCCACGCTTTTTAGTTGTTTATCTCCCTCCATATTCTCCATTCCTCAATCCTATTGTGTATGACCGAAATCCACAAACGCGTATACCTCTTCTCCAAGCTATGGAAGACGCATGTGGAGATATAGCAGCTGATGCTTTTCATGGCTGGAATCGCCATGCTAGGCGATATTTCCCCCGCTGCTTGGCGAGGGAAAACATTGCTTGTGATGTGGATGAGGTGCTGTGGCCAGACCGCAACAGAAGAGAGGATGCATCATTTTTTATTTATTTTACTGTAACTGTATACATTAAATTCTTCTGTTTTGTATGTAGACCACTGTATGTGCAACTTTGTGTTGGTGGGAAAAATGAAATATATTTGTTACCGTGTATTTGTGTGTTCTGAGTATAAAAACAATATTCTCAAATATTTTACAACACACTTATGTATGTACTGTCTATAGTAATGGCAACACTGAACCAAAAAAAGGCCTAAGTCATTATGATGAATGGAGAAGAAGTGTTTTCCATTCATCATAGTGTTTTACATTGAGCACATCAGTGTTCAACTGGTTCTTATAAATGTATATTCATATGATGGTTTGTGTGTGTCATTTTAAAGCAAAATACAATTTTGATAAGAAATAACATTGTTTTGAATGTAAAGTTTCATTTTGCTGGAGAATTGATGTCACACCCTGGCTCTGGGACTCTATATGTTGAGCCAGGGTGTGTTCATTCTATGTTTTCTGTTTCTTTGTTTGGGTGTTCTAGGTTGGTTATTTCTATGTTTGCCTGTGTGACTCCCAATCAGAGGCAACGAGTGTCAGCTGTCGGCTGGTTGTCTCTGATTGGGAGCCATATTTAAACTGTATGTTTTCCCTTGGGTGTTGTGGGTTTTTGTTCCGTGTCGGTATTTGTTTACCGTGGACTTCACGAGTCGTGTTTTGTTTGGTATACTTTAACTATTAAAGTAATGTTTGTTTCACACGCTGCGCCTTGGTCTACTCACTCCTACGACGATCGTGACAATTGAGGGGTTTTGCCCATTGTGTGTGTGTTTTTTGATTTGTGTGTAGTTCTGAGAATATGAGGCATGCTTTCAGAAAATGTGTGTAAACAATCGAGAAAAACTGTAATTGAATTGAAAAATTGAGAGAGAGAGAGAGGAAGAAAGAGAGAGAGCGAGAGAGAGAGAGAGAGAGAAAGACAGAGACACAGAGAGAGAGAGAGTGTGAGAGAGAGAGAGAGCGATAGAGAGAGAGAGCAAGAGGGAGAGAGGGAGAGAGAGAGAGAGAGAGAGGGAGATATAGAGACAGACAGAGACAGACAGAGACACACAGAGAGGGAGAGAGGGAGAGATATATATATAGAGAGAGAAAAGGAAGAGAGGAAGAGAGAGAGAAAGGAGAGAGAGAGAGAGAGAGAGAGCGAGAGAGAGAGAGAACGGAGTTGGAAAGGGTGATGGTTAAGGACCTGAATGGTCTGTAGTGGAAAGACACAGGAAGAAGAGAGATCATGATACAGAAAGCAGTGGAGCGTCTAGTATAGAAAGCATAAAGAGGGTCAAGGTAGGAAGCAGGAGTAGTGATGTGTTGGTAGAGCATGGTGCTTGCAATGCCAGGGTTGTGGGTTTGATTCCCACGGGGGGCCAGAATGAAAAAATAATATGTATGCACTCACTAACTGTAAGTCGCTCTGGATAAGAGCGTCTGCTAAATGACTTAAATGTAAATGAAAGTGGTGACCGTGTTTGATGAGACCACAGGGCCCAATTTACACCCTATCTGACTAACCACTTCCCATAGACAAAGAGACAGGAGAAGTGCAATTAGCAAGAGAAGATTCTGACAATGGAAAATTTTAGAAAGAAGATTAAAAGCCATATCCCTGGTAGATTGAGGGGAGTCATCTCTGGGGCCCCAATATCTATGACCACAGATGATATTAAAGAAAATGTGACTGGAGGCAGAGTGATTGAGGCCAAGAGGTTGATCAGTAGGAAAGAGGGTCAAAGAAGTGAAAGCTTATCAGTGCTGCTGAGGTTTGAGAAGGTTATGCCTGGAAAAGTACAGATAGGATTCCTTAGTTTCAATGTCAGAGACAATTTTTTCCCGTCCCAATTGCGGTGTTTTAAATGCCAAAGAATGGGACATGCAGCTGTTCAATGTAAAGGAAGGAAAAGAGGTGCCAAGTGGGGAGGGGAACACGATTACGGTGAATATGGGGAGTAACATAAGTGTTGTAATTGTTTGGGGGGGGGGGGGGGGGGGGGGGGGGGGGGGGGGGGGGGAGACATAGTGCAGCGTTTGGTGGATGCCAGGTGCAGAGAGAGGCTAGAGAGGCTTAGAGATATAGAATCAGTCATGATGTATCGTACGCAGAGGCTGTAAGACTACAGTGCGGACT